TACTTTTTTATTTTCTCAAATCTATAACATTAAACACATTTGAGACATTTATTTATAACACTATATTTCAAACTTTCTTATACATCTTAACAACTTTAGCTTGGTTTTTTTTTTTTTAAAAAAAAAGTAAGGCCTTGGCCTTGGTCTTTATTGAACAATTTAGTATTACATTAATTAAAATATTTTATATAAATTATTATAGGGACCTATAGCTAGGACTAATTTATTCTCAGCCCAAAACTCTACTAGAGTAGGCTATCAGACCTTTTCTAGGTTTAGTGTTGCAATATAGGAGGTAAATATATTTGTAGTATAAAAAATAGTTGCCCATTTTTCATATTTACTTATAGTTATTTGATTTGTAGCTAGATGTTCTGATACTGTGACAGTAAATGTGTTTGTTAGTAAGCCATTTTGAAGTATTGCTTTACATCTTTCTGTTCATATTTGTTTGTATATATTGTTTAATATTTTATGAAATAGATTAGTAAGTAAATATATAGTAATGTTGCAGTCTGTAAACATGTTGTCAGAAATCAGACTTTGTATTTTAAAAAGAAGTTGTATGACACTTTGTGTTTGGGTAAAATGCTGCAATAAAGTGAATATATTGCTGCTTTTATGTTTGTGCTTTGTACTAACCATGTATATAGTTTGTTGAATTAGCAGGTTATAGAAAATAGAGTTTGCTGTGCATTTTAGTTAGTATAGATTGTCTTCTATATGTAATGTGCAGTAATTGCAAATAGGATTAGTATATGTTTTAGGTTTTCTATAATGTAGTATAAATAGCTTATTTAGTAGAAACTTGATTTTAAAACTTTTTAGTTGAGAATGCTTTGGATGAGTATTGTGAGTATTAGATTTGTTGTTATAGTTAATAAATTGATGTATTAAATCACAATTAGTATTTTGGCATATAATATTCCAATAACTAGTTCTGTTTAGGATATGCCATTTTGTAATGTTTGTAACATTTTATAAATATTAAATAAAATAGCAGGTTTTATTTTCTATTGGAGTTTCATTTTAGATGAGGTAGAAGTTGTTATTATTATGAGCATAAGAAAGGATATAAAGTTTATATTGTTGTGCTTTGGTAGAGGGATGGGTTGTTCTGTTGTAAAGAGGGTGGTTATCAGAGTTCTCAATATAGAAGCATTTAATTTTAAGATGTTTGTGAGCAATTATTGTTGAAATTAAAAGTTTAAGTAGTCAGTAGTTGTGTTTTTGTAAACTAAGAGTATAATTTGGTGTTAGTATGAAAAGTGAGTTAATATAGTTAATTGTGAACTTGTGGATCATTAGAACAGTTATTTGACAGTATTGTGAAGCAGTAGTCAGTATTGTTATAATGCTGATAAGATTTGTTTAAGTGCTTGAAGCCAGTATATAATTTGAGAAAAAAATATAATATTAGCTGGTACTAGAGTTCAGGCAAATTGAGCCTGTGAGTGTGGTGTATTTGGCTGAGTTATAGTTGCATAAAGGTATAGTTGAAGTTTTTTAGCTTGTAAATTAATTGTTGTCAAATGCAGCAACTATATGCTAGCAGTGTTTGGTATAAATAGTTGTTGTAGAAAGTTGTTTGATAAAGCTAATATAGTTGGTAAATGAGAGTTATTTTGTAGTGCAAAGGCAACATTTAAGTGTAATGTTGGTAATTTGTTTGAGTGATGTAGTAGTTTTTGTTTTGTAAAGTATAGATAGTGTTGTATTAGGTCATTGATGTCTGTTCAGAGAAATTTTGAGCTAGATACTTTAATAGCAGAGCATTGGGATATTTATCAGGCAACTCAAATATGTGTTTACAATTCTTAGTATATAATAGTGTAATCTGTCATCATGACTTTGTGTAGCACTCTGAACAATACTTTAAAAGGTAGGTACCAGAAATAAATGCCTCTGTACACAAAATCTTGAAATTGATTGGTCTGCATGACTTATTAATGATTTAATATTTTTTTAAAAAACATAAATAAGTGCATATATCTGTAAAATCAAAGATACTATAACAAATGATAGTAAAAATAAGTTTTTTAGACACAAAAATTAGTGTCCCAATATAAATTTAAAGGCTCAATTCTAAATATTTAGTAATTTTATTTTTTTCATTAAATTTTTTATCAGGCAGATAAAATAATAATCACTGATCATCAAAGACTTAATTAAAAAAATTTGTTAATTATTTCTAAACACAGATAAGTCTTGTAGATTTTAATGTTATTTGTAGAACTCCAGAATTTTGAATTAGATTTATCAGAACTGCTGAAATTCAAACCAATATTCAGATTACAACTTCTTTTATAAAAAGTTATTTTCTTATATCAGAAATGGATTGTAATGAAAAATATAGTTTCTCATGACTGAAATGATGTCTGTGTAGATCTCACCTATTTCTGGTTTTGTGAACAACATTGCACAGCTACTTATTAAGTATAATTATATATTGCTAACTAGTAGCAGTACCAGTGTATTTGCAGTTTAGACATTTTGAGAATAGAGCTGTATATTGAAGCTCTGATGGTAGTAAATGATAGTGTTTGATGTATATTATGTTATTTGAATTAATAATTTTTTGAATTTTTTCTATAATTCAAGTATTATTAACTTTTTCAAGAATCTATATGCTTCTTGTTAATGTTATAGAGTTTGTAGTAAATGGGTTGGAAGTAATAGTAGAGATAAATAGTATTGTGAATGTGTAAAATGTGTTGTGTAATTCATAAAACCATTTTGGAATTCTATTTCTTAGTATTTTAAGTGTTTTATATGCAATGCATTGCTATAAAAGTAGTTGTGTATTTGTGTAATTAGTGAGTTGTTCAATGGCATATATATTTGCTTTGTTAGTTAATAATTTGATATATATTAGTTTGTTGCAAAATTTAATCAGTGTGTCAATTGAGGTGCTTTTGTAATTAGTTGGTATAGGCTAGTGATTAAAAAGATTGCAAATTTGAATAATAAGCTAATATGCTGCTTTGATTGCTTGAGCTATAAGTGTATTATGAAACTTGATATGGTGTGAGACACTTAATCACATCACAAAATAATTGTTTTCAATAAAAGTTTAATAACTTTTTAACTAATAATAATTTTTAAAAAAATCTTTCTATAGTTATATTATCTAAGACCTAAGGAATATAGCTATAGAGAGTTTTTTTAAAAAAGTTTTTTTGTTAAAAAGTTATTTTGATTTAAAAATTCTTTAATTTATTAATAATTTTAAAAAATTCAGCACTTGATTTTATTAATAAAAATACAAAATTCAGCACTTTTTTATATATTAAATTTAGCACTTCATTTTATTAATAATATTAAAAATTCAGTGTTTTTTTATATATTAAATTTAGCACTTTATTTTATTAATATTAAATTATAAACTCAAAATACAAATAATAATCATGCTTGAGTTATTAAAGATTCAACTTACAATAAAATTAAATAGATTTTAAATTATTTTTATTAAACATGTTGTTTGAATTTAAGCCAGTTAAAATTTATCTATAATACAGTACATTGCAAATTGTTAAAAGCATTATATAAGAGTTTATATTTATGTTATATGTCAGATTTGAAGAGTTATAGTGATAACCAAAAAAAACCAAACTTCAGCTTCAGCTTTTAAACCTAAAACTTACTATAAAAAAAATCTAAATTTGCAAGTTCAAATTTTGGTGTTTCTATTATCGCTTATATAAATTATGATTAGCTTAACTCGATCCTAAATATATCCATTCTTATTCTATATATAATACTTATAAGGTAAACTCCTTTTTCTATATTTACAACTTTTATCCTACAAATTTTTGCAATTGTTTAATAGACACTTCTCAAATTCTTAAAGCATTGAAAGAATATTATTCAACTCTGTAAACTTGTCAGGACCCAATGAGCACAAGTAGCTTTGAGTTAAATTTAATAATTTGAATTATAAGGTTGGTTTGTGTTTCAAGATCACATATGGATAACAGGAGGAACCGTCAATGTTATACATTAATCCTTCACACAATGTAGTCAATCAATAATAAAATTATTTATTTTGTATTTACACTAAAATGTATGTTATGGATATAATCTCTTGCCCCATCATTCACAATTAAACTAAAATTATTTATATGTCTTCAAGTGTAATAGATATAATTCCTCATTTGGTGTAATATTAACGGTTCCTCCTGTTCATATGGATATATCAATACGATCTTTTGTACTCCTGGTTTTATGGTAATATATTGCAGTATTATGGTTCAAGATCAATTTATTACGCTAATCATAAATCTTATCAATTTAAATAGATAAGGAGTTTGATTATTAATCAACATATACTTTTTTTATTAATAAGTAATGTTGGTTTTATGAAGGTTAGAGACAATGTAACGATCAAATTACTTTAATGATTTTTGCAACGAATAAAAGTACTACCATAGTGCATTGACCAAAGTACCCATCTCTATTAATTAAACATGAGTTTTTTTAAATTTTTAAACTGCTTATTGTAAGTACAGAATATGTATATGCTTGAAAATTTTCTTTCTTGCGACATAGACCTGTAACAGTCAATAGACCCAGGTCTTTTGTAAGTTTTTTTTGAATGGATTGTATTGTACTCCAGGTACTTTGGTCAGTGCACTACAGTACATAGAGACTATTACTAATACTTTATAATTTGGAAGTAAGTTCCTTTATTTTAAAGATTTTTTTATATAGTACATTTATGATGATATAAGATTTTACCATTCTGTCTGCCCTTTCTACCATATGCTACATATATAACAGGTTTGGCAGATCTGAAGCAATAAGTAAGAATTTACCAATACAGGTTATACGTAAAATGTTTAATATATTTAATAACTTGTTTATATTTATTTGCAATAGAACTATACTAATATATGTATATAAAATACTAATAATAATGGTTGAAAAAGTAGAAATCTTAAAGTATAAAAAAATACATATGTATAAGAATGTTAAAAAATTAATCATTAATATACTCACCTTTATTCAATATTCAGGTCTTCTAGTATATTATTTGGAATTCTTCTATAAGATTTATATTTTTTAACAGCAAAAGCAGCCTGTTTTACAGATAATCCTAGTCTATATGCACTCATATAACGTAGTGAATGCCTTGAATATTTTCGAATTTGAATTAAAGGAACTGAATCAAGAGCCATTAAAACAATATTTTTTAAAGATTTAAAGCTATAATCACAGTTAGCATGTGTATTAACTTTTACTGCACCCCAATAACTCTCAATATAATTCAATTCACAGTGGAATTTTGGATAAAAAATAATTTTGTGACCTGCCTCTTCGACAATTTCTTCAAGAAGTGATTTTTGGTTAGCAAAATCTGGTTCTAGGCTTAAAATTCGTGTAGCACAACAATCATGTTCCTGAGGAGCTCGCTTTTTACAATCTGAACAAATTATTTTTAAATTAGGGTAGGTTAAACCTCTTTCTTCAAGAACTTGATACATTCCTTTTGGTGTGCTGTTAGGATAATTCATTTCTTGTAAAGTACCATCCCGCATATAAGTATTTCTCATTTGAGGTTGTTGACCACCAGATTTGAAATTCATTCGTGAAACTACTAAAGCATCATTAGCGAATGCAGCATGGTTACTGCTATTATCAAAAGCAAAAATGGCTACGCAACCAGAGTGCATTGCTTCAAATATTGGAATTGCCCTGTTTTTTAATTGCTGCGCCACATCACTAATTGTCCAGTAACTATCACGATTATTACCAGGGTGAATAATACAACAGGCTTCAGTAGAAATTTGTTGTTCAAATGGAAGACTATTATTTTGTTGCTGGTGAATATTATCTAATTGAAGTCATCCAATTGTATCACAAAGAAACTCACTAACTATTATACTACCCTCAGCTGATTTTGGACGTAATGGTTGTTCACCAATAGGTGCCCAAATGCCCTTTGACCATCATTTGCATAAAATACTGATTCATCATGCGTTACTAGTATATGTAACCTTTCTCCAGCAGGAAGAACTGGATTGATTTGTTGTGTTAAATCATCAGACCAATCTGGTATTAATAACTCATACTGCATCATACTATCTAAAAAACTATGACAATACTCTACAACATCCGATCGTTCATGGCCATCAACATATATATCCTTTTGATATGGTTTAAATTCCCATCCTAAATTGTTTAACTATCTTTGCGCTGTTTTATTACTAATAGTTTTTCCTGTTTCAATTTCAACACTTGGAAATATTTCATTACGAACATAGTCACAAAGGTTAGAAATGCTTAATTTAAACTTATGAAAGCTTAAATATTCAAGAAGCTTATTTTTAATATCTTCATCAAGTAAAAGTGACCAGATTTTTTGATGTTTTCCCCGTTTTGAAGCTTGAATTGTACCAGTTTTTGTATATTGATTACCCCAAGTTCTTATTAAACGTGCAGTCCAAGGTCCATGATTGAGCGAAGTTGAAATTGTATTACTTGCTTGTGCTCTAGTAAGTCCTGATTTTACAAGCCGAAGGTATTGTGCAGTATATTGAAGCCGAAGATCCTGTATTTCATTTTTTATTTTTTGTTCTAATTCAGACAATGTGTATTTAGAAGTTTCTTCTTCAGAAGAATCTATAATGTTTATGATTAAATATTAAATAATTATAACAAAAACATAATGAATAATTATTGTAATGGATTAAAATGAAATTAGATTAAAATGAAATTTTGTATAGTACAAAATAGACAAGCCACCGAAAAATACAAAATTTTGGGGCATGTTTTTAGCTTTTTGGTTTTAGCATTAGAGATTAGCTTTAGAAGCAGAGTTTATAGTAAACAAGAATGAGTTTTAAAAGGTAAATAGAAACTTAAAATTTCATTTTAATCTGATTTTATTATGATCTATAACAATTATTACCAGCATTTAAATCAAATATTTCAGATATTTCAAGCACTTCATTACTTTTGCTATTATTAACACTAAAATAATTAGTGATTTTTTGATAACCTTGTGCAGCTAATTTCCAACGTCGCCTTTTATTTCGCATAGTTGATTTTGCATTTCCAATATAAAATCCATTTCAAGAAGTTTTTTCAAATGCATTAGGTTTATTGGCGGCATCAAATATTAAAGTATATACATTTGACTTGGGTTCAAAGAGTTCATCTACCCAATCATTTTCATCACTCGAAGATTGACTACTTGGAGATTCATTATCTGAAGAATCAGCACCTGAAAGTTCACTGCCTAAAGATTCACATTCGAAAGCTTTATCGCTAAACAATTCATTATCTATATCAAATATATTGAAGTAAGATTAGTTTATATATTATATGAAGTGTATTATTGAAATATATAATATTCACTCTCTGCATTTTGTGTTTTTTTATTTCTAACATCTTTTAAAAATTGAACTCGCTTAGACGGTCTTATTTTTTTGGTTAATATTAGTCAAAGTGCAAAATACTTTAAAAATGAATTTTATTATAAATTATTATAGAAAATTTTTGTTATTGAAGAATTAGACAAAAATAAAACTTGAAAATATTTAACCTGAAGGCAAGTTGTTCTTAATTTGATAAACGCTTCTTTTATACGTTTAATCCTATCTCTACAAAGAGTTTGTCATATCTAATCTAATCCTTTGAATTATAAGTAATTCATTGTTTTCATTGGAAGCTTTGAGGCTATGAAGCAGGAATATTTCATCCATTTTCCTTTTTCTTTTCCAGAGCACTTGATATTACTGATTTTTCTTCCTTTTCCTTATGATTTCACGCTTATTAACATAGCCACCTTCAGAACTTCACATATTTTATATATATATTACAGTACTTTTTTTTATTTTCACCTTAATTACTTTACTTTTAAGGTTAATGCAATAAATTGCATTGACCCATATTATTTACTGACAATCACTTCATAGACAACTTAGTTCGCAGACAATTAATTTACAGAAAAGGCTAATTCACAAACAAGTTCATTTCATATCTATTAACTAAGTTTTTTGTAAAGTGATTGTTTACAAAATGAACAGTACCGGTTTGAGTTATGAGAATCGCATGAACAAGGTTCTAATATTATACAAATCTTGTTTGTGTTTGATCACTAACATGTTTACGGTCTTTTGTAATCACTCGCAGTTTCTTTCTAAAAAAGTGTATATAATATTATTTCCCAACATCAATTGTTCATTTTAATATATACGTATATTCCATAGTTAGTATTACTTCTAGTTATTTGAATGGAACAGAAAAAAAAACCTGAATTCTAAGTTTGAATTGGCACAACAATAACTCATTCATATTTACTCAGATTTGGCATATCCGGTTCTGGTAGATTTTATCAATAGCCAGTTCGCATACAATTTAATTAAGCTAAACAATTACCAATAATATGATAGCAGAATATTCAGCTATCTCTAGCATCTAAAATAGTACTAATAATATTATGACGACCACATAACCAAATTCAACCAGATTGGTTCTATTTTACCATACCGCACTGCCATTAGTACCCGGGTATATTTAGAGGGGGGTGTTAAACAAGAGGGATACTAAAGGCAGTGCAGTACGGTAATTTGATATGTTCATAGAATCAAAAAGAATGGCACACATGTGATATAATAGTTGGATGCCTTCTAGTGCAAATAGCACTGGACCTTAAAACTTTATTAAATTGCTTTAAGTAAATATGTAGCATACATCAGTGCATTTGATGTATAATTGAATTATGTAGCGCAATTGATATGCAATTGAAAGTGATGTAGCATACATCAGTGCAATTGATGTATAGTTGGCATTAGCCAGTGGTTTCCCACCTACATAAAGCAGGCCAGCTGTTAGCCAGAAGCTCTGTGGTCAAATTAGCGATGCAAAATCTTAGCCGGTAGTTTTCTACCTACGTAATGCATGCCAGCTGTCAATTTGAAAGATCTGCAAAAAATGGCAAGATTTCCCTAAGGTAGGGTAGAGGCGGGTGCGAATTTGCTTCATCTTTGAAGAGCTGCTGTCAGGCCATCCTGCCGACCCTCTGTTTTATATGTCTCTTCATTGTCGTATATACCTGGCAAATTTGGCTATATTAGTGATCATGCCAACAACCTCAAATTGGTAATACATTAAACTTTGTTATCTTTCTTTTTGCATACACCAGATTTTTCTTGTTGACCTCGAGGTTGCACATGTGATTGCTGGCTCATTGATGCATCACTTGCTTCGTCATCTTTTCGATCTGTTGACTTGCTGTCAACTTGAAAAAATAAGAAAAATTTTATCAGATCTAATTTGGTTATTTTCGTGATATTGCTAGTGCTATTTTAGATGCTAGAGATAGCTGGACACTCTGTACGATAGCAATAATAACTGATAATTGCAAT